TATGGAGCGGTGTGGGGTCGGTATAACGGACAGGCGTTCCCAATCGGGGTGAATTCTCGTGAGGAGGAGCAAAAAGAGTCTCAGTGGGGAGTTGCTATGCAGCCGAATCATGTCTGAGTTAAGAAAGCGTCAGCATGTAAGTGCTGAGTAGAAAGTGATGTTGCTGCTCTGTTACAGTAGCCAAAGCGCGGTCAGTATGTACGCTGACATGAAGGGATAACGCATGAAGAAATACGGGTTTAATAGCGTGATTTTATTTCTATTTAAATTCGCATTTACCCGGGAACACCAACCCGGAGTCTCCACCCCAACAAACGTTCTAATTCGCCGTAATGAGGCGTTGCGTTTTTACCGCTTGTTTGCTTAAAGGCGTCACAGGCAACAGCATGCGCAGGCTTGATGTGTAAAACAGCTGGTGGAACACGTTCAGATTTTCTGCTTTTCCGAAATTGATTTGCGACGTGGACCGTCTTGCCTGTCGTCTGGACCGTGTCGTCGGACGCACACTCTCTTGTTGGCGACAATAAAGTCCCGATAACGTCCGCATCCCTGACCATTTGATCCACATCGAGAACGACGTCCAAGTTGTGGTCTGATTTGATGTGACTTCGCGGCGCTTGCCGTGGTGGGATTTGGACACAGATGGTCTTTGCGGTTGAAATTAATGCACGCTTCAGAAGCAAGTATCGCTGAGCGGCCTGAAATGTCCAATAAGGTCCGCCGTAGGTTGCGCCGGTCGACCCGTGAAGGCCTTATGACCATATCAGGCAATTGCAGCGCATATCACGGGCGAGGATGAAGCCCGCCGCGTGAACCAGTTGGCCACAGCGCCAAATATGGCCCACCTGGCGGCGGATTTCGCGTTTCGCTCCGCAGAAATAGTGCTCACGCGGTCCATGAACTGTGGTCGCTGGTGACGGGGCGCAGGGAAGCGAAGGCTAAACCGCGGGTCGACCGTGACGTGGTTTTGCGTGTGATGACGAACTTCTTCTTCAGTGCTAGAGGCCGAAGCAAGAGTTATCCGTTATACTGGAAGTGCTCTCTGTGGTGTTGGGAATTGTTCGCAAACGGCTTCGTGAGCAAGATTATTGTCCCAGGACATCAATGGAAGGGTATCTTTTTAACTTTTTGTGCGCTCCCATTATACAAAAAAACAATGCCAAAAAACTGCATCAAAATATTTTGGTTAAACGCCGGAATAACGCCCTGCGTCAGGCAACTCATGGTTACCCACCACACCCAAATTATTTTACTTGGCAAAGTTCTATCGTGGAAGATCGGTAATCGTTGGTAAAATTATGTTCTCCGTCCCGCGTCGTCGATTATGGTAGAATCTGCCAGACGGCAGCTGAGGCTCAGGATCAGTCACGGAAATTGACGTCTCAGGAATAATGTATTAGTCATGTTTCTAGTCCATTGGCGACGGTGCACCAACCTCTAAGGCGCCGGTTACAGGTGTTACGCACCAGGTCAGCGCACCGGTCCACCACTCGGCCACCGCGACCTTTAGTCGACGTTTATGTCTCTACAGTGCCCAACTCATCACACAGCGGGGGGCGTTTCTTCCGCATAACCAGCACAAATAATTATACATTTTGACTGTTTGGCTAAAGTTGATCACTGCGTTACCTGTGCCTCGTGTTGCTCACTGCACCACGCCTTTGCTTCTAATCACACCAATAATAGCATGCCGTCATAAGTTACTATGGTTACTCACAACGCTTCACTCGGGACGGAATGACGAGCAGCCACGTTAACCCCAGCGACGATTCCGCCGCCCGCCTCGACGTGACTCGAGATAGCTACGATATGTTAACGCAGTCGTTATTCGGACCCATGTTGGCACGGGGGGGACACCCAGCCCCACATCAGAGACCATCACAGTTGGACCACCCATCTCACTGCCGGACGCTGAGGGCTGATCAAGGGCCGGTCTGCAGATCGGCGACCTGTGCCGGCATGTGCAGGCTGGCGGCTGGCAGCTCGGATCAACGTAATGCGACGCTACGACGGCCAGTAGGGGTAGGAGATCGACTCTGTAGTCGAAAGTCAAGTGATCATGTATGCGGTTATACACACGCATGCGTGAATGTTACTACACTACGGAGAGCCGCCGCAGTCGCTGCTCGGGAATCCTTGCCGTCGTCTCCTGTCGTCTTCGTTCACGTCTGCTCTGTTCCTTGAACTCCCAGTGGTGAGACGGCTGTGGAATTGACGCTTCATCAATGTCCTTGCAGACTGTGCGACAGTGGGTGCCTTTGCTCCTCAACGTTATCAAACATTACATAAGCCTAAATGTTAGACAAACCTTACGTGGGAATCCTGTTCTCGCAACTGCAGCAGCGATGACAGTCGGACAACAGTAGACCGTGGCAGCAGCACTTTTGTCTGCGCGCTTCCGACCGGGTCTGATTCCTGCCTTACTTCTGCCCCCCAGAGTCCCATCCCCACCCCCAGTGTCCCAGCCTCATCCGGTGTCCAAGCCCCAGTGCACCTAGTCCCATCCCTAGTGCCGACAGCCCCATCCACAGTGCCCCAGTCCATGCCCAGCGCACCAGTCCCATCGCCAGTGCCCCAGTCCCACTGTAGCATCTCAGTCTCGTCTCCGGTGTTTCAGTCCCCATTTTCGCGGTGCATCAGTCGTATGCTCCAGTTACCCTGTTCCGTCCTCCAATGCTCAGCCAGTCCCCGCCACCTAATACTGTACCGTAGTGGTCACTCAGCTCCGTCCCCAGTGCTCCAGTTCCGCTGCGGAATGTTTCGATCCCGCCCAGGATCTCAGTCCCAGTACTCCCCGCGTCTAAAGCGCAATTCTCAGGGCTTCAGTCTCTACTCCATTGCCGTGCCTCAATCCCACGCCCGAGTTTCTCGCCCCCCCCCCCCCTCTCCTCCCTCCCTCCGCACCTTCTCCTACCCCAGCACATGACTCCTCGCACCCAGTGTCATGCTCTTGCTCCCCCGCCCCTTCCATTGATTTGTTCCTGCCCCTCCCCCAGTGGCTCATACCTAGTGACCCAGTGCCTTAGTGCCGGTCCCCTGAGGGCCGCTGAGTTTGCGTCTTGCGTGGGTCTCGGGCCCTTACCAACTGCCTCCGTGGTGTATTCCTGTTGTTCAGTGCCCAGCGCGGTGGTCTCAGCTCCCCACCCGGGTCGAGCGTAGACCAGAAGCATGTTCGTAAACCAGGTGCAGATATCGCAAATGTTCGTATTTTCCCAATCGCCTCATTTTCCTAGATGCTGATTTCTGTATTGCCGGATGTTTGCGCCTCAGATGTTCGTAACCACACATGTCTGTGTGTGCAGATGTTCGCACTGCAACTGTTCGTAAACGCTGGTGTTCTTATCGCAGGTGTCCGTATGGTACATGTTTGCTTGTGTAGATGTTTTATCGCAAATGTCCTAAGCCCGAAAAAAATTACGGCTGGGAAGTTAAGAAAGTCGCACGATTGGACAACAACGGCGGTGTCAATCCAACTCTCATGACACCGAGGCCAACGCATTCCGCGCTTGCTGTGTTTGCAATTTGTACAGTCTTCTAGCCCACGGTCTCTCCCTTCTCATAGTCCTTCACGAAGGTAAGTCCATGGCATGAGTCACGTCACATTCAGGCCACCCGCTTCCATCTCTCGTGAAACACCGCCGATATGGTTAACCAAGACGCCATAGAATGGGCGCGGCCAGACAAACGGCCGTTTGCCATGGAGATATCGAGCCATTTGCGCGCTGTTTTAGAAAGATCGAGCCCGCCAAACATTAATTTTGTGTCTTGATATGGGCAGCGTATTCTGCTCATGCTAATCCATGTTAACTTCTCTGTTTTCATATGTTATCTTTACAGCGTAAAGGGGAACTGCTTTTTCTGCAAATCTCTTCGGCTTTAAACACTGGCTTCAACAAGCGATGAGTACACCCCTGGCAGTGCTTACACAACAACAGTATCGGCACTGCTTCCCTTATTCGCCTGCTTTATCCTCCACTCACACAACGACCACCTTATCCGGGGTAAGCTGTATGCTTCAGCCAGGAAATAGACTGAAGTACCCCCTTCCCACCCTCCATGGCGCAAGCCTCGCCCGAGCGCCCACGCCCTGCCCATTTTACCGAGACGGGTCCTTATGGGGGAGTCCCAGTAAGCAGCACTACCAGTCGTAATATATATATATATATATATATATATATAATATATATATATACCATGTCGGTGGGCGACAATATGAAATCAATACTGAAGTCTGAGGGTAATTGGGAAGGTGACCAGGATCCCTACATATTTATACGGCATTAGGCGCCCTATCTGAACATTATTATGCCTCTCTATGGGTACCGGATCGTTAGCGCTTACGAACGTCTCTGGAGCGGGCATTTGAGGGCACAGTTAACGACAATGGTTTTCATCCGAACGTTTTGTGCGCATGAACATGAGCGTTTACGGCATAAGCGTTAGGAACATCCGCAATGAGGAACGCATTTGCGGTTGCAAACATCTGCAATGCAACATTCCGCGACATGAACATTTGCAAGTACGAATATTAGCGTTCACGGACGCCCTGCATTGCAGACATCTGCGAATGCGCCAACAAAAATTGTGTGCGAACTTTTCCGTGCGAATATCCGCCTTACGAGCCTGTGTCACGGAATCGGACCGTATCTCAGTCAAATGCCCACGTCCCTTTTAACAAAGAGTGGCACACGACGCGCTCCCTTCCCCCCCCCCCCCCATGTATTGCAGCAATTGCGTAATGAGCGGAGTGATTAGCGCCTTCGCTCCACGGGGAGGCCTGAGTTCGAATCCCAGTTGTGCCACGACCCCTGGGTGCTTATATGGCCATTGCAGTCAACGGCTTTACATAAAAGGGCACGCGACGGCGTTCATAGTGGCCCCTTACAAAAACAGCGATTTGCTTAGGGCGCAAAATCAGCCATGGAATCGACGCATAATCTCGCGTGAGAGCCCGGCGCTCAGACCGCTACGCCCATCACGCCACCAGCGTACTCGCGCCCTCACCAGTAGCAGCTAGCGGCCGGTGACGTCTCGGTACCGCTGGTGTCGCTGTGCGCCGCCTCAGTACCGCTCGCGGGCTTCCCGGTACGGCTCGGATGGCTCTCGGAAGGCTGGTAGCCCCACTGCTTCTGCCAGTGGTGGGTCCAGTACAGCTCGCCCTGATCGTTGGCGCGTTGCGCGTCCTTGCACACCCAGACGCAGTACACCAGGCAGAAGATGAGCGCGCAGAAGCCGCCAATCAGCAGCGCCAGGCCGATGAACCTGGCCGGCGACGCGTCACGTGTCACGTAATTGGCAGACGTCAGTGAAACGCACCTATGCGTGCACGTGCGCCGGTGTGTATGGTGGGGAACACTGCGTGTGTGACCACAGCTAGCGGTGCGGTCTACTTGAAGAGCTCGCGGTATACCTGTGCGGGGACACGGCATGTGACCGAGTAGGTATTCCCGCATGCCGGCAGGAAGGGGCTCTGAGAAGCACATCTGGTTTATCCGCGGCCAATGACTCGATGCGCGTCACAGCACATGACCCTGCGTGCACGAGAACACGGTGCAGGCACCTGGGCAGGGCACGGCACGTTCGGGGGAGGCCTGAACACCGAGTTTTCTCAGCGGTATACGGGAGAAGAGTTTGGAAATGGAAGCATCAAGCAGTCGAACCATCAACTACCTGAGACCCCGCGGCGTTGTGTGTGCGATGGCTCGGGGCATAGTGGCTTAGAAAAGGCGACAGTTTCACATTAATGATTGTTCACATTCACTGCAAGACGGCAGTGAGAAGGTAGTAGTCCGCCCGCGTGCCTGCAACAGAGGCACGAGCACCACCGACGAGTCTCAGGCCTGAAGCCGCGTGAGCACTCACCATACAACGGCGGAATTGAAGAGCTGGAGGATGATGACAAAACCTAGCGCGATCAGCAGAATGGCCCAAGTTCAGCAGCAGCATGAGCAGCAGACGCCTGCAACAGAGCGGGCCGTGTCATAATTACCCTAACAGTCAGCTAACATGCGACGCCCTCAGGTCTCAGTCCCCGGCATGCCCGGCGCGGTTTCAAACGACAACGGTCCAATTAAAAGCCAGGGGCAACGTCAGCAAGGTCCAATCAAAGCCAAAGACAACGTCAGCAAGGCGACGAAGGCTGCGGGGTGGCGGACAACGTATGGGTGGCAATGCACGGCGGCAAAGCATTGCGATCAAGCGTGCGGCCGGTGACCATGCGCTCTGAGAATCTGTGAACCCGTTGCCTTTCGCCGCACAAACGGTCGGAGTGGAAGACGAACGATGAAAAACGTTATTTTCGGGCACGTTATTTTCCACACCGCGTGAAGCCTGCGCTGAACGCGGTCGGCCACCTGCCGTCGGCTTTGCGACGCTGGTGAATGGGTACCGAAGAGCAGGGAAAAAATGGCCGATGCGAGCCGGCCTGGCTCCTATATTAGCCACCCGTAGCCACATGTGCGGTGCTAGTCCATCGGGGGCTATAAGATAGGCGAACGTTAGCTCGCAGAACAACATCTCCAACGCAGCACCCGGATGGCGCCCGGTCGCCGTGGTCCCTCATCGTGGTCCCACCTTTCGTGTTGGGGCAGCACGGGTGAGGAGCTGCCATGGTCTCCATCATCAGGTTGCCGTGGCGGGACGTCTTCGTCTTCATCGTGCCGTCTGAGACCCCGCTGCGGTAAGTGCGCTGGCTTGGGGCGTAGTGGCTGGAACAAGGCGACGGGCCGACATTAATGAAACCTGAATGTGACTGATGAATCACAAAAACACGAGTGAATTGCGGACATAAATACTGAGGCATGCACATTACAAGCGAAACAATGACGGACCAAACAAATACGTCTCTGTATTTTCTTCGCTGCATCAGGGTTTTAATAGGGACGCCATATGGCCAGGGTAGCCGGCGCGCCCTACGTCCCAAATCATCAGCATAACCATCATCATCATCATCATCATCATCATCATCATCATCATCGGTCATGTGCTGTTCGTGCTTTCATTTCGTTCATTCTATTCCCGTGCTTTCATTTCGCATGCACGTGCTGGCTATCGGCCGAGCGTAGACCAACTGAGCTGGCTTCGATGGCGAAGGACGTAAGGCGCCTGTCTGCGACACACACAGACACTTGCCTGGGCTACTCGGCCTTCTCACTGGTCAGCGCGACTCGTCTTTACAGCTCCTCTGATTAGGCATTGGTATACTGGTTACCTTGCGGCGAACTAGCCGCGTTTTGGTGACTTTACTCAGCCGTTGATGACGTGTTTCGTTCCCACGCCAACTACGGCACCCCACCCCCATCCCCACCCCCACCCCCACTCCCACCTCTTCTCCTCCTCCCCCCACTCAGGTAAAAGCGCTCACGGGCACTGATTCCGTCCAACACCCATACAACACTCCGCCTCCAAGCGTACTGACCTCATCTCGCTGACCGGGGGCGGCTGATGCGCCTCGGCGTATATCTCGCTGGCCTCGCGCTCCTCCGGGTCGTAGCGGCGGTCGTGGCCGCGGTCGTCGTCGTAGCGGCGGTCGTGGCTGCGCTCCCGTGACCGGCCGTGGTGGCCGCGGCCCGTGTCGTAGCGCTCCTGCTCGTGCATGTCGTAGCGCGGCGTGTCCAGGATGAACTCGCTCACGGCCCGGTCCGACGGCGCGCGCTCTGTCTCGCTGCGCTGCTGCGGCGAGGCGGCGGTGAAGGTTTCCCCAGCGGGAATCGGGTCCTGACCTCTCGACGTACAGACTCGACCACGTACGCTCTCCGTTTGTGACGGGCAGTTGGCTCGTGTCCGGCACCGTATCGTACATGTCAGCAAGCAGGTAGAATGTGCAAGTCGATCCATTTTAGAGATATCTATGAAAGATATCGAAAGATATCGAAGGTATCGTCCAGCCGTTTTGACGGGGCGAGCGATGTGATATCTGACTTTGCTGAGTAAGACGACCGGGACGAATAGTTTATCTGCGCCTAACCCGTGGAATCACCAAATACAGAGTGGATGTGCCGTAGCGGAGTATCATGTAGTGCTCGCCTTATTCGGGGGTTCGGATTGCATTACAGCAAATGACACGTTTCTCCTTTCTTTGGTCGTTGGCGTTTACCTCATCAAAAACCGCAGTAATTACATCATTAGGATAACAAGAAATGTGGAAAAGGTGAGACTGGGTAGCTAAATTTGTGGAGTTTGCAAGCATGGAAACGCCAAACTCCTGTCTGCCTAGCGACGGAAAATGGCCACAAAACGGTATACAGCCGTTCTGAGTTGTCCTTCCGCGATCCGGCGTTTGGCGCAATCTCATATTCACCCTCTCCCTCCCTACCTCGTCATAGTCGCGGTGCATAGCCCGCTGCCGGTGATCGTCATCTCGATGTCGGTAGCGCCGGTCGTCCTCCTCGTCCTCCTGGTACCGGTTCTCCACGTCGTCCCGATGGTGGCGCCCCTCGTGGCGGTGTTGGCGCGACATGGTCACCCTGGAACGGGGGTGGCGTCAGGGAAAATGCGGTCTGTTGGCGCGAAATGGTCACCCTGGGACAGGGGTGGCGTCAGGGAGAATGTGGTCCTCAATAGACTTCACATGAACATATATTTAAGACAGACATTGACTTCCAATAGTAGGTTGCAATGTGCCAGTGCGTGTCTTCGACAGCCTGTGATTTGTCCTGCCGTGCTTTCAACAAACCGACCCGGGGTTCCGTCTGGGTGATCCGTGTGCCAAAATGTCTTCAGGATATGTTTAATTGATGGCCAAGAAAAGTGTTAAATTTCAGCTTTCTAGCTGAAACAGCTTGGCGATGATGTAAGACACAAAAGGGAGCCGAGTTCCCCCCGTGTAAACATAAGGTTAAAAACTGAGGTGAAGAGAGAGACGATTTGCCGAAAAAACCAGCTTCAGGCACATAGAGAAGTAAAAAGAGATTGGAACACCTCCTGTTTCGGTCAGTGATCTCACCTTGACCTAGACAATTTTGAGGGTTGTGACGCAGAAAATATGAGATCGCGAAGCAAATCGCCTTGAGCCGGCAATGAACCAAGCCTTGTAACCAACTCTTGAGCCCTTATTGTGGGAGCTAGCGAGGTGACGTCACGATCAGCTGACCGGCGGACGTACAGCGCCTCTCGGTGAGTTATTTCCAGTTGAATCATGAGTTTCGAGTTTTGGACATGACTCTGAGTCAATATCCGCCTCCTCAGACTGCTCATCTGTCAAGTTTGAGTTCAAAGATGACCCCTGTAGAAAATAAATCAATCCAATCGAGTTTGAGTGAGTCCCAAACAATCACGCGTCCCGCGTGGATTCTGAATGCGGCTGGCTCGACTCCTGCCCGGTTGACGCTGCGGGGATGTCATCAGCCCCATGCGTTGATGAACAGATTGGAACACACTCGAGATTGGGCCGTGTGGTGCTGTCGGCCCTCAAAGCCGTCCAGAATTAGAGGCCGGCGACAGATGGCGCGGCGGCTGGTCGTTTATTGGCGCCTGGAGAGCGTCGGACGCGGCCGGGCAGTGACACGATGGGGTCGGGTTGAGAGATGAGGGGTGAGATGAGGTGCGGGGTGAGAGATGAGGTGCGCTACGGTGCGATCTGCGATTGTATCTGGGAGGGGCGGACTTGCTGTGACAGGGGCCTCACCGAAATCACCGAAGCTGGCCCCGGCAGCACCGGTCTATTTTATTCGCTGGTCCATGAATCTTGCTTTTGACGACGTAGGCTGTCGGAACTCTGGGTCGGGAACGATGGGCCACGAACAGTGGTTTTAATGTGTTTCATGTACCTCGCATGAGATGAATAAAAATTATAGTGTGGACCACTGTCTGTTATTTTGTTTTTAGGAGTGCAATTTGGGTATCGCAATGGGCACGGGGTGGTTTGTAACTATCAACGGCCTTTTCACCAGGGCTTATTGGACCGCCATGTCTTCACATGTTTTCCATTCGCACGAAATCCGATCGATCGCACGAAAATGTGTGTTGCTCAAGCGGCTTCAGCGTATCATATCTGAGTTACAAACAGTTTTAATGAGTAACGAAGCAGGGCGCTCTTATCTCGAATAACTGCTGAATCTCTTTCAAATCCTAACTATTTGAGTACAAGTTGCCGAAACACCCACGTAACAACCATTCGTGAAAACAGCATGTTCAGGTATCTGGCCTGCTGCTAGTACTACATTTTTCCTTGATACGGTTGAGAGTATCGAGACTGGAATTGAGATATGCGCTGATATGCAAGATATGCGCAAGATATGCATACCTACACCTCCCTACATATCCGTACCTACACAATGATGCGCGTAGCATAAGATGAAAATTCGGAGCAAAAGGTAAAAAAATATGGATGGGTTGACTACAGCTCATGAACGCACGCCCGGTGGCCGGTTAAATACCGTTCGTTCGGGTGTGGGTCAGTTTGACGCCATTGATATCTCAAAAACTAAGCGAGCTAGGAGCACTAAATTCAAAGGAAGTGTTGACTCCTGCGTGAACTCGCTTGTGCTAAAACTTCAGGCTCCTAGCTTATGGCTTTCGTGTCAAATAAGGTCTAACAAGGTCAAACTCCAGACTGGTGTTCAAAGTGCCCCCAGACCTTCCGATGAACCGCCGTGCACCTAGATACCTACTCTAAGTAAAAATCACTGGTGTTTATTAGAGATCCGTGACCTATTGTGACCTTTCCAAGGCCATGGTTACCAAAACCATACACGACTGCTTTAAATTTTTGTCATCTGAGCAAGCATCAAGAATTACGCCAAGCAGTTTGTTCCTAAAAAAGCTTACCTGGGCCATTTTAGGTCATTGATCTATTCTGACCTTCAGAAATTCCAAGGCAGATGTATAATGTGGTTCCTGTTGTCAATAAACTGAAAATGAGCACCACAAACTACCCCATCCAGCAAACTCTAGAGCAATAAAACAGGTCGGTTTTGACCTTGGTCTGGCCTTTATATCGCACCCCAAGTCAATGGAATTTGTTAATTCAATTGTTGTGTTGTCCATTTAAGTATCACAGAGATGTATGGCTTCGTCTAACGCTCCGTTGTTGCATCAAATTGAGCGATTCCCTTGAAATTGCCCTCGCGGAATCTATGGTTTGACTTTGACCTACTGTAGGTCAGTGACCTTACAAGGTACATCTAAATTTTGGATGTCAAACGATTTGCTATTTTGTTGTCTACAGCTATGCAGAATTTGGTGTGGCTACACCATACCGTTCGGAAATAATTCCGGAAAATATTCGGGGGTCAGGGCGTGGACGTTGGAGTGGCTATGTCTAAAATGTTTCCGACGTAGACGAAAAATGTTTTATCTCGGGAAAAGGGACAAGTTCTCCAGTTGAAATGTTGCAGACGTTTCATCTGGGGAACTCGTCTCTCTTGGTGCCATTTGATATGGTTAAAACACAAAAATGATTCAATTTGCCAAAAAGTTAGTGAGGTCCGGACAATACCAGTCTTAGTAGTGGTCACGCTTATGTGCTGCTCTTTCGATCGAAAGATGCGTTGCTAGCCGGACGTTAAAGTCTCGCACGCCTCAAATGGACGCGTTAGACTGAACATTTGAATTATTGCTGAGTTTTTTTAGGCTTTGGTAGTTACCGACAGTGATCTTTCCACTTAAGACAATTTCATTCCGCACAATTTAACTTTTGCATTGTTAAGGACGTTTGGTCTGCATACTCTCAAACGAAATACAATTACAGTGATTCGACTTCCCGATTTCCAAGGGAATTCAGCGCAATAAAGAGATTAAATCATAAGGACGAGCCTCCAAGCGCTTAAAGTTTTTGCAAGATATGAATGCATAAAGTACTCTCCAACAACGTGCATACGTCAAATGCCGCAGGCGATTCCTATTCCGGAGATCCCAAACATCCCCGAAAGGAAATCGTGTTCGTCGACCGGCCATCGAGGTTTGATTCACACTCGATTTGGTGATCATCTGCAGGCATAGCGGGGCAGGGTGCATCCCCCTGCGATAAGACTCGTCTCATTTCCGTAACTGCGCCTGCACAGTCGTCGCTGGGTGCGCCTGATGGCGATCTGCACAGACACCCAGCCTGCACCGCCGCTGGGCCCGCCGCCGCCGAACGGTAGCGCAGGGAAACTGCAACGCCGTGTAGGAATGTAGCCACGCCTGCCGGGATCGCCCACACGGAGATATGTACCGAACACCGCAGGTCGCCGCTGCGCAGCTGCAGTCGTCTATGCAGATTACGCTGGGGGTTGGAATCGCTGGAAACGCATGGGCTATGTGCACCAATCTTGCCTTGTCACAAAGGTGGCAAAGGTGCCCCGTGCCCCTAATATGGTGTCGTTTGGCATGGCGTGGCATTATCAAATATTGATGAAAACATTTTCACATTCATAGGAGCATTTTCGCATGAAGTATCCCTGTAGTCTGTGCTTAGAAGAGCTTGGCGTTACTTCTAATTTGCTGATGTGTTTGACTCTAAAGGAAGCAGCAGATACCATGAGAAAATAACTAAGAATACATCCGGCGAAAGCACCCAAGGCTCAGGGTAAGCAGACTACACACCATCTTTTTACGCTTACACTTCGATCCAGTCATGCGGTTCAAAGCTGAAAGTGTCGCGCGTGCTCGCAGGTGGTGTGACCTCACAGCTGTCAGCTGAGCTGACCACCTGTCCGGCCGCCATACCTTGGCGCAGGGCGTGACCGGAGAGCCTGTCCGGTCCTTCTTCGCCGACCTGGTGTCCTGGAAGGTCACGAGTGTCCTCTTCCGCCGACCAGCACCACCCACCGGCCGCCGCACCCGCCTTCAGCGCCGCAGCAGCCCCCTGCGCTGCGCTAGCTCGTCGCCGCACGCCAGGCACCGTCACACGATGACTTTCTTGGGCTCGCCGCCGGCAGCGCCGCCCCTGCGAACGCCCTTGAAAGTGAAATCCAGCGGGCGGGCAGGGGCCTGTGCAGGATGTCGGTTACGTGAATGCACGCTACCCCGACCGTGAGAGGAGAGCGGGGCAGTGCAAAGGCACAAGCAGGCGGGGGAGTGGAGTAGCCACACTGACATTGCAGTTCGCACTGCCAAAGATGTGACTGCGGTTCTGTATTGCGATGGAGGCAGGGGTGAAGTTTCCTATTCAGCTGGGGCTCCAACTTCCCTCAATTGGGCTTCAGCCTCCCTCTCCCCTCCAACTTTAAGAAAAAGTGAGCCAAATCCGAGGAAAACCCGGTGCGTTAGTGTGCTTTGCGAGCATATAGCAGTATTGTTTTACTGTTGAACCGTCAAACTTTGTGACGAAAGAACTTATTTGCCGAAACTACACGCCTGAATGGAGGGAACAAACACAAAACATGTATGCTCGCTGAGCCTGGACAGAGCCTAAAAAATGTCAAAATGCAGAGGTGGGCACCAAGTCGTCAAACGTAAATATGCTAATCAACCAGAAGAGTATTTCGTTCACGAATTAATGTATTCGTTAGCTTCAAAAACGATCAACTCAGAATTGTGTACGTCCGTTGAATTTTGCCTGTTGAAACTGAGACCGCTAAAGCTATGTTGGAAGGCATATTTTCAGTTGAATTTGGAGTGTTATCTTTTGCACAAGTGTTGGGTAGGGCCTATTATCAGCACATGGGGGGATTCGAGGATATGGGCCTTGGGAACAACCAAGTTACCCGGGAACAATGGTTGACGTTGACAACCTCATGCTGACACGCAGCGTAAACTATTGTAAGAAAAGCACTTTTCCATTTTGATGAACTGTAATAACATGAATGGAAATTTTGAGCTTTTGACTGTGCAGGGTGAAACGTTGATCTTTTGTGCACGTATAAGTGTGGCAGTAAAATATGTAACCTATGTAATGGACGTAATTTCTGAGTCTTCGTGGCCGCGTCCGATGCACATCTAACCGTGGGAAGGGTAATGTTCCACGTAGAGTGGCAGCTGAACAGTATTTGTCACCTATGCGAATGCATAGATGTTCCTGGCTTTTACACATTGGCATGGGATAGCTATATTTATGTTCATCACTATTATGTCGGAAGACGGCATTCTCTATTCGTCGACTTCCGCTTCGCTTGCCCGCCTTGTGTCTTTGTTTTGCTTTGCTTTGCATCGATCATCCTCGCTTACGATTGGCTGGTCCGCTTTTTGTGGCGAAACTCTTGAAATGGGCAGTATGGCTCCTACTGCAGCACAGGCGACTGGACTGGTGACTGGTGCATCCAGCGTAGTTCCACCGGACCCCAGCTCAGTCCGTAAAAGGGTGCTACCTGGTCCCACGTCGGAGAAGCCGCCCCCCGCAGGGCACCACTTGGTCCAGCACTAGAGGCATCCTGGAGCGGCCCGTCGGTCACATCCGCCGTTGAGAATGCCTACTCGGGGAGACTTCTCTGTCGAAGAGAAGATCCCAGTTGCTCTGAGCGCGGACTGAATGCTGGA